GAGCTATAGTCTATAAAAACCATTCTGACATAATTCCCAGATTTCTCAAAGTGGCTCAGTGCAATATGTAGATCGTTGGTGATGGCGTCCCATGTCAAACTGTTGCTTCTATAAGCAAACTGGTGTTGATCAAAATTTGGTGGAAGGCAGGACCTGAGATATTGTAGGACCAGTCTCTCAAAGCACTTCATCACTATAGTCATCAGTGCAATGGGTCTATAGTCATTCAGGCTGTTTATGGCTGCTTTCTTCAGAACCGGGATGATTGTGGCTGCTTTCAAGCATGATGGGACTCTAGCCTGTTGCAAGGAGAGGTTAAAAATCATTGTCAGGACCCCTGTTAATTGGTCAGCACAGGTTTTTACCACTTTTCCCAACACCCCATCTGACCCTGCAGCTTTGTTGGGATTTACAGCCTTCAGCTTAGCTCTCACTTGATGTTCATCCAGGGTGAGTGGCTGGAGGTCAGAGGGCTTTTGGGCTAGAGCCACAGAGACTGGTCTTTTGACCTCAAAGCGGGTAAAGAAGCTATTTAGCTCCTCCGCTAGCAGGGCATTAGCATTGGCTATTTTTTTCATATTGCCCTTATAGTTTGTTATGTGTTGTAGCCCTGCCACACCTGTCTTGAGTTATTATTTTCCAGATGCTTCTATGTTTTTTGTTTGTATTTCTGTTTGGCCACCTTAATGCCTCTTCTCAGATTTGCCCTGGCTTCATTGTATTCACCGCTCTCAGAAGTGATTGTACCTCTGCTGACATTCAGGGTTTATGATTACTGTAAATTCTGATGTGCTTATTCACTGTTACATTGTCTGTGCATGTTTTAATGTAGGAGAGTACCAGCATCAGTGATTTCTTGCAGCTCCAAATGTTCAAATATGCTCCACTAAGTAGTCTCAAACAGTCCTGAAACTGGCAGATTGCTCCCTCCAGCCAGTTTTTGATAGTTTTCCTGACTGGCCTTCTCCTTTTCCTAAGGGAGATATACTTTGGGCACAGCAGCAGAGAGATGTGGTCAGACGTACCCAGATGGGAGAGGGGGATTGCTCTATATGCCTGTCTTAAGTTTGAGTACATATGGCTGGTGATACACTGCACATACTGCACTATCCTCTGCGAGCTGCACTGGCTGCCTGTTGGACTCTGGACGCGCTTCAAGGTGCTACTCGTTACTTTTAAAGTCCTACATGGTATCGGACTTGGGTACTTGAGAGACCGCCTCCTGCCAATTACCTCCCTACGACCAATTAGATCCCACAGATTAGGCCTCCTCCGAATACCATCAGCTAGCCAATGTCGACTTTCGACCCCTAGGGAGAGGACCTTCTCTGTGGCTGCTCTGGCCCTCTGGAACGATCTCCCCGTGGAGATTCGGATCCTCACCACCTTTCAGGCTTTCCACAAAGCTGTCAAGACCTGGCTGTTCTGGCAGGCCTGGGGCTGATGAGTTCCCAGCCACACTTGAATTGCTGTGATTGTTGTGTAGCTTTTAAGCTGTTTTTGTATCTTGTTTTTGTCTTGTTTGTTTTTTGTATCTCCCCCTTCCCCATGTGTTTGTTAGCCGCCCTGAGTCCCTTGGGAATAGGGTGGCATACAAGTATAATAAACATACAACATACATACATACTAACTTAGGGAGAACAGATTTTAGACAGGCTTGATTAAAATCCCCAGCTACGACAAAAGCACCTGCAGGGTAAATTTACTGCTGCTTTTTGAAGGTGTCATGTAACTTAGAGAGTCCTGTGCTAACAATTGCATCAGGTGGAATATAGACAGCGGTGATAACTATAAGAGAAATCTCTCTAGGTAAATAAAATGGCCAACAAATGACATTAAGAATTCCACATCTGGAGAACAGTGTGTATAAGTAACTCTACTGTTAGTACACCAGTCATTATGTGTGTGAATACAACATCCTCCACTTTTGCTTTTACCGGAGTTGCTGTTTCTGTCGAAGTGATGTGTGGTGCACCACTGTTGCATCCAGTACAAGTGGATGAAGCCAGGTCTCTGTGATGATCATCACACAACAGTTGCAAATGAGCTTATTCACTGCCATCCATAGCTCTAGTTCATCAGTTTTGTGCCAAAGGATCTAGAGTTGGTTAGAAAAATGCTTGGTAATGCTGGTTTGTGAGGCTGCTTCCATAACCAAACTAGCAAACCAGCTCTGAATCCCCGTTTCTGCTTTCCCTCTCTTCACTGCCTCTTAGGCCCAACAACGATCCATGGAGAGCCTGGAAGTCTTATTATGCCACTTGGTATATTATGAGATTTCTGGAAGTCGCTGGTAATATCTAGTTGACTAGAAGATCCAATCTTTAATAACTCCCTGCGGGTATTCTAGCTTTTGCCTACATACTCCACTGTGACACCAGGGGCTCAAAGCCATAGCGTGAATGCGACACCATCTTGGAACAAAATAGCACAGATTTACAGTATATACTGTTTCACAATACTTTACAGCCCTCTCCAAGTGGCTTACAGAATCAGCATATTTCCCCCAAAATCTCCTCACTTTACTGACCTTTGAAGGACGGACGGCTGAGCCTGTGAGAATCGAACTGCTGGCAGGTGGCAGAATTAGCCTGCAATACTGCATTCTAACCACTGCGCTACCATGGATCATATTACTTTATTCCATGACAACTCCCATTAAGACTTTGCTGTCTATGATGCAACCAACATACATCAAGCCACATTGAGGAAGATTATGGAAAGCCTTTAAAACCCACATAGGAAAAGCACAGTTGGCAGCTTTCTTTTCTCAAATAAAGATATATGTAGCTGAGCAAGCAAGCAATCAAGCAAGCAAACAAAAATCACACATAGTCTCTTTGAGAACAATTATTCATGTTTCCTCCAGTTTTCCTCACCTGATCCAACCTGTCCCCATCCAGTGACCCAGCATTTTGTATCTGCAGGAAACTCCGCAGAAGATGTTGGCAAGCAGACGGGAAGAATATAGTCATTGAAAGTCACTGGGGAATTCAGCTCCACTAAAGCAATGTCCCAGCTTGAGCCTTCCTCTTTCGTGTAGTCAGGATGAGAGATGATACGTTTAACGGTCGATGTCACCATATTAGGAGAAGGGTCCTGGAGTTTATAAGCACCCAACTGTATTTCGTAGGGTACTTCAGGGCTGAAAGTTAAGAATCAAAAGTGAAATATAAGTTTTTACAGGAGTGGTAAATACCTGGAATACTCTACATCAGTGGTCTCCAACCTTGGCAACTTTAAGACCTGTGGACTTCAACTCCCAGCTTTGCTGGCTGAGGAATTCTGGGAATTGAAGTCCACAAATCTTAAAGTTGCCAAGGTTGGAGACCACTGCTCTACATGACTCAGTTGTTACATCCTCAAACCCCCAAAGCTTCAACCTCAAACTGTCTATCGTGGACCTTGCCCCATTCCTAAGAGGTCTGTGAGAGGGCATGCATAAGCGCAACAGCGTGCCTTCCGTCCCTGTCCTACTGTCCCTATTTATTTGTACTCCTTTGTTCATGTACATGTTTATACTTAGACCTCTTATCTTGTACGAGTTCGATAAACAAAATAAATAAATAAATGTTTGTAGAATGTAGTTAACCCCCCCCCCCCAGATAGTGACTGTGACAGTGTGACCAAAATTCAGCCCACTTTTTATGCGCTTCCTGTATATGGTCCATATAAAAAATGAGAGGAGTTTTTAATACATAATCTCAGAATTGCTATCTTGATTTTTTGTAAACCATATTTGTGAATAGCAATAGCAGACTTATGTACCACTTTAGAGTGCTTTAAGCCCTCTCTAAGCGGTTTACAGAGTCAGTATATTTTCCCCAACAATATGGGTCCTCATTTTACGACCTTGGAAGGAGGGAAGGCTGAGTCAACCTTGAGCCTGGTGTTATTTCAACTGCCAAATTGCAGGCAGCAAGCAAGCAGCAGAAGTAGCCTGTAGTACCGCACTCTAACCATTGCGCCACCACGGCTCATATCCTTAGAGCTGAAAATTCATCAACTCTTTAGTTAAAATTACTATTGTACAGCTGTGTAAGATAGTGGATTAAGTTTCCTCGATCCAATTGTGCCCATGGAATCTATTTCTCCTCCACTGCAAAGCCATGGATAGGTTATTGCTATTCAGGAAATAACTTTTCTTGTCCATCATTTAGACATCGTTAGCGTCCCTCATCAATGTCCATGATATTCCATTATTTCTTGCAAAGAGTCAATAAGGTCCTTCCCTCCTTGGATTCAGGCTATGATGCTGAATCCTTGTACATGAAAAATTATTAAGGCCAATGTATTATTCTTTTATCTTCAATGCAACGAAAGGAAAAGAGCTTTTCCGCTGAAATAAGTGAAATACTGTATTTTAAAAGCTGCGATTATATTTGTTAATATGTTTTATTTATTTTTTAAAAACAATAATATAATTGTTTGAATTTTTTTTCTCTCTGGGATGTTTTCACTTTATTTATTTATTTATCAAATTTATTGTCCGCCTATCTTACCACAGGGTAACTCTGGGAGGCTTATAATATTAAAAGCTAAAGCTGTATAAATACAACTGTACAAAAGATGTACAAAATACTTTAGTTTTAACCAGTGTTTCTCAACTTTGACAACTTTAAGATGTGTGAACTTTAACTCCCAGATTTCTCCAGCTAGTGTCAAGTTGATGCCAAGGTTGAGAAACACTGATTTAAACACAAAGCATTGCATTTGGCTGGACTTTGCAAAGCCTGGCATTTTCTTAGGTTTAACAATGAAGAGAGATTATCTTCTTCTGCAACAGTTTACTTAGTGACTGTTCAAAGTTATGACATTACTAAAAAAGTGAGTTATGACCATTTTTCAAAGTTTTGACCAGGGGTGGGTTCTGGCTGCTGCTACTGCCAGTTCGCTCAGGGCCATGCTATGCGCGCATGCACATTAATAAAAACAAGATGGCGTTATCTATGGCACCGCCAAGAGAACTGGTTCAAGGGTGTGGTAGACCGAGTTATTACCTACTTCTCCAGACTGGCCCGAACTGGTAGGAACTCACCTCTGGTTTTGACTGTTGTAGCATCCCCATGATTATGTAATTTATATTCAGATGCTTGACAACTGACACACATTTGTGATGGTTGCAGTGTCCTGGGGTATGTGATCACCCTTTGCAACTTTCTGACAAGCAAAGTCAATGGGGAAACCAGATTCACTTAATAACCGTGTTACTAATTGCTTCATTAACAAATGTGGAAAGAAAAGTCAAAACTCACTTAACAAATTTCATACCCAACATTCTGCTTCTTCTGCCTTCCCTCTATTGTCTGACTGCACTTCTTGAGACCCACAACACCGATGACATAATCATTCAGCCTAATTTCCAGCTGCTACGGTAGCGGCTGCGTCGCAGTGTCTAATGTTCTAATGTCTACTCACAAATTGAAGCAGTGAGCTGCAGATACTACCCAGTTGGAGCTGAGGAGGGACCCTCCGCAAACCAGTCTGCTGCCTTGAAAAATGCTGGCTTGCCAGGGCCATTCCCCTTCCAAAGCGTTTAGCCCTCCAACGATCCGTGACGTCACAGGCTGCCCACAAGCTGGGAGGAGAGAAGATTTACAGCAAGTCCATGGGCAGAAATCTTGCTTGTTTCCAATTAATAATGTGTTATAGTGTCAATGTGATGTGTTGGCCCTAGTTAAGATTTAGATAAGATTGTGATGGCAAACCTATGGCACGCATGCCACAGATGGAACACAGAGTCCTCTCTCTGGGCACATGACTGTCACCTCAGCTCAGCTCCACCACACATGTGTGCATGCCTTCCACCGTCCACCTGATTTTTGGGGTTTTGCCATGCATGAGTGGGGGGCTGGGCCATGAGGGAGACGTGTGTGCATATATGGGGCAAGGGGGGTTTCCACCTGCATGCACGGGATCACACATGCATGTGCAGAGGTGGGGGATGTTGTCCGTCCCCCCCCAGCCCATTTTTGGTCCAAGGGCACTGCAGGGAGGCCTACTAGTTCCAAGCAGTGCACATGCCGGGCGGGGGGGGGGGAGCAGGGGTTCTCACGCACATGCACAGGAGAGCAGGGTGCGAGGGCTGTTGCACACACATTGTATTATGGGTGCGGGGGCTGTCATGCATGCATTGCAATATTGGTGCAGAGGCGCATGCACGCTGTCATGCATGCTTTTGGCATGCAACGAGAAAAAAGTTAGCCATCACCACACTAGGACATCCAATATTGTGAATTAGATTGGGAAGTTGAGAAAATGTACTCAAAACGGCGGTGGTGAGACCCCTCCTAAAGAAACCATCGTTAGATCCAGCCATCTTAAACAACTTTCGTCCTGTCTCCAACCTTCCCTTTATCGGGAAGGTTGTTGAGAAGGTGGTGGCCTTTCAGCTTCGACGGGCCTTGGAGGAAGCTAGCTATCTTGACCCCTTCCAGTCCGGCTTCAGACCTGGTTACAGCACAGAAACCGCTTTGGTCGCATTGACCGATGATCTCTGGAGGGCCAGAGATGGAGGCTATGCGTCCATCCTGGTTCTCCTTGACCTCTCAGCGGCTTTCGATACCATCGACCATGGTATCCTTCTGCGACGACTGCGGGAGGTGGGAGTGGGAGGCACTGTTCTGCGGTGGTTCTCCTCCTACCTCTCGGACAGGTCGCAGTCGGTGTTAGTCGGGGGGCAGAGATCGTCCCTGAGGCCCCTAACATGTGGGGTACCCCAGGGTTCGGTCTTATCCCCCCTACTATTTAACATATACATGAAACCGCTGGGCGAGATCATTCGGAGGCACGGGATAAAATACCATCAATATGCGGACGATACGCAATTGTATCTGTCCGCCCCGTGCCAACTCAATGAAGCGGTGGACGTGATGAACCAGGGTCTGGAGGCCGTTAAGAACTGGATGAGTGCTAACAAACTGGTGCTCAACCCGGATAAAACCGAGTGGCTGTTGTGTTTCCCCCCCAATAATTTGGCTAATACACCAACGCTTAGGCTGGGGGGTCAAATTTTATACCCCTCAGATAGGGTCCGCAACTTAGGAGTCCTCCTGGATCCACAGCTGACTTTTGACCACCAGCTGTCAGCTGTGACCAGGGGGGCATTTGCCCAGGTTCGCCTGGTCTGCCAGTTGCGGCCCTACCTAGATCGGGGGGCCCTCACAACAGTCACTCGAGCCCTTGTGATCTCTAGACTGGAATACTGCAATGGGCTCTACATGGGGCTGCCCCTGAAGTGCATCCGGCGACTACAGCTAGTCCAAAATGCAGCCGCGCGAGTGATAGTGGGCGCACCTCGGTTCGCCCACGTTACACCTGTCCTCCGCGAGCTGCACTGGCTACCTGTTGGTCTCCGGGTGCGCTTCAGGATACTAATGACCACCTTTAAAGCACTCCATGGTAGTGGATCTGGGTACTTGAGAGACCGCCTTCTGCCGATTACCTCCCTAAACCGACCAATTAGATCGCACAGACTAGGCCTCCTCCGAATTCCATCAGCCAGTCAATGCCGACTGGCGACCACACGGAGGAGAGCCTTCTCTGCTGCTGCCCCGACCCTATGGAACGAGCTCCCCATGGAGATCCGCACCCTCACCACGATCCAGACCTTCCGCGCAGCCCTCAAGATCCGGCTCTCCCAGCAGGCCTGGGAATAGGTTTCCAATCACCCGCCCGAGTGTTTGATTGCTGAATGAAAGTTGTGTTTTATTATTTTTCTTTTGTTCACTAATTGTTTGTTTTGACCTTGCACTTCCCCTCCCCTGTGGTTGTAAGCCGCCCTGAGTCCCCTCAGGGAAAAGGGCGGCATATAAATCCCAATAAACCTTAAACCTCAAACCTCAAAATGTCATGGAAGAAGTCAAAGACAAATCCATGTTTCCAAGAGAAAACCACATGGATGCATCTGTGATGCCATCAGCAGTCAACCCTGGGTCATGAGAGTCTTTATATTGTATGTCAGCAGAATATCTGAGAAGAATAATTACTGCCATTAACAATTCTTGTTAAGAAGAATCGTATAGAAGAATGGTTGGATCTCTTAAGTCTGTATAATGCTTAATTTCTTATGCAATTTAATATCAATTTCTTCCTTTACATAAAGGTTTTCTATTGAAGCACAACACTTACCTGCTTCTACCTTGGTAGCATCTGAAAAAACAAAAACAAAAGACAGTTATTTCAAAGATAGGAAAAAAGAAGAGCTCTATATGCAAACTCAAAACAAGAGACTTTGATGGCAAACTCTTCCCAATGGCTTATAAAATTAAATATGCCTGGCAATCATATTGCAGGTTTATACTGTATTTGTAGTATCAATGTCAGAGTCCTTGCAATGCTGAATTTCAACTTGGCTGTGCCAGAACTTGATCTTTAGGTACTTGATTTTAATTTTGGAACATGACAGTAGGTGAGTGTCCATCTGGCGGTGCATCCCATGTTGGTTTTTTTCTGATCTAGGCACTATAGGATTCCATGACTCTGGGAAAAGGAAATGTATTTAACTTCTGGACTGAAATAGTTTGTTCATGTTTGCATAAATGTGTATAGGTAGTTCTTGATTTATTCATTTAACAACAGTTCAAAGTTACAATGGCATTTGAAAAAGTGATGTACAACCTGTTCTTCAAGTTATGACTGTTGCACCACCCCAGCAGTCACATGATCACAATTTATGTGCTTGGCAGGTAGGTCACATTTATGACCCGTTGCAACATTCTGTGTTCACGTGATCCCAATTTGCAACCTTCTCAGCTGGTTTGCAACAATATCAATGGTAGAAGCTGCATTTGCTTAACAGTTGCATGATTTTCCTAATGTTCACATGATTCCCTTAATGACTGTGGAAAAATGGGCATAACATTTGATTCAGTCTTGCGATGACTCACTTAAAGACTGCCTCACCTTGCAACCAAAATCCAGGTCCCAATTGTGGTCCTAAATCAAAGATCACCTGTACAAAATGTGTGTAACTGTGCCCACTGTATTACTTAGGTTCTTTTTGAAAATGCACTTTCTTCTTACATTAAAACAGCAGATGTTCATGTGTGAAATCTTGCAAGAATAAACTTCCCTGGAGGTGCAGTCGAGCATGTAAAAAATAACTCGGTTATTTTCATCACCCGCTCTATTCTTTGTAAAAGGGGCCCCTTCTAAGACTGGCCTATTGAGATCCAGTGTTGAGCTGTACTTTCTGTTCTTTTTTTTTTTTTGCTTTTTTTTGCTTTTTTCATAATTAGTAAAAAAGATACATCAAATTTGTAACACATTTTTTTTAATGTGTGAATTTCAGGTCATAGAATTTCCCAGCCAAACTATCTGGGGATATTTAGAGTTGAAGTGCACACATCTTAAATTGCCAAGTTGAGAAATATGACTCTACCAGATGGGATTTATACACTTGGCTTAACCCTTTCCAAACACTAAAAAAAGCAAGCATCAATGAATAGGGGGTCCTTCTGTATATTGTACATTCTGTACACCTTTGTTGCTAACTACTGTGAAGGGTCCTTGATGCTCTCTGAGATTGGTTGTTTTTTTTGCAGACATTTAATTACTCAGCACTGATGATGTTCCCTAGTTTAGATAATGAAACATCTGCAAGTCATTTTAGGTTTAGGTTTAGGTTTATTGGATTTATATGCCGCTCTTCTCCCAAGGACTCAGGGCGGCGTACAACATCTTAAGCGCTCCATGGTAGTGGATCTGGCTATCTGAGAGACCGCCTCCTGCCAATTACCTCCCTGCGTCCCATCAGATCGCACAGAGTAGGCCTCCTCCGAATTCCATCCGCCAGTCAGTGCCGACTGGCGACTACGCGGAGGAGAGCCTTCTCAGTTGCAGCTCCGACACTATGGAACAACCTCCCCGTGGAGATCCGCACCCTCACCACAGTCCAGGCCTTCCGCACAGCCCTCAAGATCTGGCTATCCCGTCAGGCCTGGGGATAGGATTATTCTCACCCCGCCCGAATGTTGAGTGAATGTTGTGTTTTTATGGTTAATTTCTTTTATTCACGTTTCTTTTTCTTTTAAGTCTTGTCTTGCACTCCCTTCCCCCCATTGTTGTAAGCCGCCCTGAGTCCCCTCAGGGAAAAGGGCGGCATATAAATGTTCAATAAAATCTAAATCTAAAATCTAAAACATAAAAGAAAACACATATTACAAAAATTAAAAGGGACATTAGACAAAAAACCCACCAATTGATATTTATAATAAAAATTTAAAAATTTAATTAAAATTAACAACCAAATTAATACTATATTTTATTTTATTCAGGCCAGGCTGGCTTGCTGGAAAAGCCAACTGTTTAGGATGCGTTGGAAGGACCGGAGGTTGGGGATTATGTGAAGCTTCAGGGCCAGCTCATTCCAGAGGGAAGGTGCTCTCACAGAGAAGGCTCTCCCTCTGGGGGTTGCTAGCCGACACTGTCTGGCCGGCGGCACCCTGAGGAGGCCAACTGGGGATCGCACTGGACGGTGGAGGCTACTGGTGGCAGTAGGTGGTCTCACAGGTATCCTGGGCCTAAGCCATGGAGCGCTTTAAAGGTCATAATTAGTACCTTGAATCACACCCTGAAGACAACAGGCAACCAGTGCAGGCCGCCTAAAAGGGGTGTAACATGGGAGCACCTAGGTACCCCCATGATAACCCGCGCGGCCGCATTCTGGACCATTTGAAGCCTCCGGGTGCTCTTCAAGGGCAGCCCCATGTAGAGAGCATTACAGTAGTCCAGGCAAGAAAGGACGAGGACATGAGTGACTGTGCACAGAGCATCCCAATCCAGAAAGGGGTGCAACTGACATATCAGGTGAATCTGGTAAAAGCCCCCCCTGGTCACGGCCGTCAGGTGTTCTTCTAAACTAAGCCATGTATCCAGGAGGACTCCCAGGTTGCGGGCCCTCTCTGAGGGAGGTAAAGTTTCTCCCCTATCATCAAAGACGGAACAAGATGCACAAATCGGGATGACGGAAACCACAGCCATTCAGTCTTGGAGGGATTGAGCTTGAGCCTGTTCCTCCCCATCCAGATCCGCACAGCCTCCAGGCATTGGAACAGCATGTTGAGGGCATCGTTTGGGTGGTTTGGGGTGGAGATGAAAAGTTGGGTATCATCAGCATATTGATGATACCGTACCCCCAAACCATGGATGATCTCACCCAGTGGTTTTATATATATGTTGAACAGAAGGGTGAGAGAACCGATCCCACAAGTGATGCGCCTCGGGGTCGATCCTTGCCCTCCAGTCAACACGAACTGCGACTGATCCGACAGATAGGAGGAGAACTACCACAAAACAGTGCCCCCCACTCCCAACCCCCCGAGTCGTCGCAGTAGGATACCATGGTCGATGGTATCGAAAACCGCTGAGAGATCTAATAGGACCAGGACAGAGGAGCAGCCCCTGTCCTGGGTCCGCCAGAGATCATCAACCAACACAACCAATGCCGTCTCCGTGCTGTATCCAGGCCTGAAACCCGACTAAAACGAATCCAGGTAGGCAGCTTCATCCAGGTACTGGGGAAGCTGACCTGCTACCACACTCTTGACAACCTTCGCTACAAAGCGAAGATTGGAGACCAGACGATAGTTGGCTAAAGAGGCTGGGTCCAGGGAAGGCTTCTTAAGAAGGGGCCTCACCACTGCCTCCTTCAAGGTGGTGGGAAAGAACCCCTCTCTCAATGAAGCGCTGGTAATCGCCTGGAGCCAGCCTCGTGTCACCTCCCAGGAAGCCGAGACTAACCAAGAGGGACACGGGTCCAGCACACAAGTGGCAGCACTGAGACTCCCCATAATCCTGTCCATGCCCTCAAGGGTCACAAGGTCAAATTTTACTTGCAGTTAAGTTCAGAGAACAATAAGGACCCCTCATTTCAACTCTGAATTGGAAATATTCTTTTTTATTAGCTAACTATGGTGCAGCACAAGCATCCCCCCCCCCCCATGCATCCTAATGGCATTGCTTTCTTTTTATCCACATAAATGAGGTGGGCTTAAATCGTCAGTAACAGTTCAAGTGTTAAAATGAGATCTCTCTCTCTCTCCCTCTTTCTCCCTCCCCCTCCTTGGACTGTGACATCCTTATCTTATCAGGGAATCAGGAACAAGCATAGAAGAGCATACAGCAGAGGTGTTAGGATTACCAATATTGTAGAGTTTTGTTGATTTTAGCATGGGTGGAGAGCACTTCATCTCAGCAGTGGGAAAAGCCCTTGAAGTTCACTCCCTATTCACAGCTCAGCTCTTTTTTTTCTAGCTTCAGAAGACCAAAACAAGCTAAGGCCTCTCAAAAACAAATTTTCTAAAATATATTTCCTGGCTGCTAAAAGATTTCTCCCCTTCTCAATAATTCTCCTGGTCCGAAGATGTTCAATATTGGGTATGAGAATACCATATTAAACAAGTCTTCAGTTCATGACTTCATAGGAAAAAGGCAGGATATGAAAACAGTAAAAGCAAATCTTCAGAATCTATGTTTCCCCTTCTCTGTTCTCTAATCTACCACAGACATGATTCACTCCTGAATATCACTGAGGTTGGGGTTTCAATGCAAAACTTCTGCTTTTTATTTTCCATGTCAATGAACTAAGAACTAAAGCAGGAACTAAGCCCAAATCCACACAGTTCTCAGTCACCATTTCTAAGCACCCAGATGGGATTTCGGTCAATAATCTCTTTTTGAAAAACAAATGTTTTACATTGCCACAAATATGCAAGAGAACTTTTTCTGCCACTCTCTAAGGTAACTTTTTGCTAGCCCTAATAATGGTTTGAGGCTTTGTTGGATTTTAATTCCCAAATCATCCCAAGCCTCATGGCCCTCCTAGGTAAGGAATAATGGGAGTTATAAACCAAATTATCAAGATTTCAGCCTGGGGAAGACTGCTGTGCATAGACCATTTCTTTTTACTCCTTTGTTTCCAGAATTTATCTTAGATTGTAGAGCGCCTACATTCCTACTGTTCTAAAATTACACTGAGTCAGCTCTCAAGGAATTTAGAATTAGGGGAAGGAGCCGCTGTTTTTTTCTTCTTTGAAACATTAATCCCTGTTCTTTAGCATGGATGAAAGAGGCCTCAGCTTTACACCAACTAGACATTATAGATCTGTTTTTTTTTCTTGGAGTCAAGACAAAAGACCCCTACTTCCCCTTCTCGCATCCCACCCACCATGACCCCATCAGTCACCTTGTAGCACCAACATCAGCAGCAGCCAAAGAACCAGAGAAGGGGGAATTTGTGCCATAGTCCTTTCCCCGCTCATGTATTTCCCTCCGGAAGTAACCTATGAATTGTTCTCCTTCGGGGAAAGGTGCTTTATTTCAGTTCCTGCTACCTGTGCCATAAAGGTAACTATAAAGGTGAAAGTGTAATGGCAGAAACATTTCCTTCTCCTCCTACATTGTCCTTTGCTCCTACACGTTTTGAATAAAGAGGAGAGAAAGAGGGAAATAAAAGAAGAAAAATGCCCACAGAAACATAATTACCTGATGTAAATATATATAGTTAATATATAAAATAAATGTACTAGATCTTGCATGTATACACAGAAAGAGACATTTTATTTATTTAAAAAATTCAAATCTAAATTGATTTATTTAACACAGATAGAACAGATAGATAGACAGGATTCTTTATTGGCCAACTGTGATTGGACACACAAGGAATTTGTCTTTGGTGCATATGCTCTCAGTGTACATGAGAATAAAATGCATTCATCAAGAATGAAAATATACAACACTTAGTGATAGCCAAGGTTAGGGTTAGGGTTAGTGATGGCATTTGGGGAAAAAAACTGTTCTTGTGTCTAGTTGTTCTGGTGTGCAGTGCCCTAGGATAGAAGTTTATAGGATAGAAGTTGAAACGATGCAGGTACGTTCAGGATGTCTGTATAATATCAAAGTTGGGAGGGACTTTGGAGGTCTCTTAGTCCAATCCCCTGCTCAAGCAGGAGACCTTATACAATTTCAAACAAGTGGCTGTCCAATCTCTTCTTAAAAGCCTTCAATGATGGAGCAGCTGTGTCTTTTGAAGACAAACTGTTCCACTGATTGATTGGATCACACTGATTCTCACTATTAGGAAATGTCTCCTTAGTTCTAGGTTGCTTCTCTCCTTGGCTTCTCTCCATTGCTACTTGTCTTGCCTTCAGCTGCAAGACAATGGCCAGCTCATGAGGTAGCACGTAGCTAACCTTGGTTGATCTTTGAAAAGCTAAACCAGATCAAACCTGGGGAGTATGTCTATGGGAGACTACTTAGAATTCCCAGGACTATAGTCATGGACATACACAAAGACAAAAACACCCCACAATGTTTCACAATAAGGCAAAAGCAAGCCATGTCTTTATCCCTGCCAGCGAAAAAATATGGAATTAGCAATATTATATTAGCAATATGGAATTTTGTCTATGGAATTAACAGCCATAAAACTCTACTCAAGATAAGTTTTTGTTTATCTTACTTCACAATCGAATAAAATGAACTTAAATATATGAATACATCAAGGCCATATGTCCACCCATCCTGAAAATGGGGTACAAGTATAGAATGAAGGATGATGGACATTGCATAACTGATGCAGAAGTTGTGTCTTGTCAATCTCACACTATCATTTTAAAAGAAATGTGATGTATAGATGTCCAAATAATGTTTCATTGATAGCCATGTATAATTCCTTGTCTCTTGCCTCCCATAATTCTTGAAGCCAAGGTGGCGCAGTGGTTAAATGCAGCACTGCAGGCTACTGCTAGATCAGCAGGTCAGCGGTTCAAATCTCACTGGCTCAGGGTTGACTCAGCCTTCCATCCTTCCGAGGTGGGTAAAATGAGGACCCAGATTGTTGGGGGCAATATGCTGACTCTCTGTAAACCGCTTAGAGAGGCCTGAAAGGCCTATGAAGCGGTATATAAGTCTACTGCTATTGCTATTGCTATTATTGAATATTTAATTATTCTAATTAATCTGTATAGATGGATACTGGAATTATTAGCTTACTGCTTTGTACAGAACATTCCAAATTCTATGTATTCCTCCACACTCAAGTTGAAAATGAAACCAAGAAGTTCTTGTTTTTTTTAAATTGAGTTCCCATGTCCCCCCTGGAAACCTGGGTAGTTGAGAGACCGCCTACTGCCGATTACCTCCACTAGACCGATACGATCGCATAGATTAGGCCTCCTCCGAATTCCATCATCCAGCCAGTGTAGACTGGCAACTACCCGGAGGAGAGCCTTCTTGGTGGCTGCTCCGACCCTCTGGAACGAACTCCCCGTGGAGATTTGGACCCTCACCACCCTCCAATCCTTCCGCGCCGCTTTAAAGATCTGGCTGTCCTGGCTGTCCTGGGGTTAAGATTCTAACCCCACTCGAATTGTGTGACTGTTGTGTTTTCTTTTTAATATGTTGTATTGTCTTCATGTTGGAACATTGTTTGTCCTCCCTCCCCCTTTTTTTGAACTGTGAGCCGCCCTGAGTCCCCGCAGGGAAAAGGGCAGCATACAAATAAAGGGAAAATAAAAAATAAATAAAATAAATATTCTGGATCTCTTCATCTCTGTTTCCTTTCTAATTTAATTCTTAGATCACTAAAGCAGGTATACAAAGGGCAAAAATTCAAAGCATTTAGCTTTTTCACATCCAGTAATGAAAAGCATAGAAACCAGAGCTGTCTCTGTCAAATAACTTTAGGTGCTGAATGCACATTTCCCCTGCTTCTTGACTTTCTCATCCTCCTATGTGGGCAGATCTTCTTTCCTTTAACTCTCCCAAATGTTTGCACATACAGATATCTTGATCCCACCTCCTTTCCCATATATTCTCTTTTAACATGTGTGCACATACTTCTTTATCATTTTTCTGTCGTCATTGCCCTGGTGTTACAAAAGTCAACCCAAAGAAGAACAGTTTGCTTGTTCTTTATTTCTAGATTTCATTCTAGATCTGTAAAAACTTTGGGGAAGGAAGAATGGATGTTTCCTTCATAAGAACAAACTAGCATTTTGTTTTGCAACACTAGTTTTATTCCAAGATACTGAGTCTGCATCTTGAAGATCATGTAGAGAGGATGGGAGGAAAGGGAAGAGACAGAAAACTTTTGCAGTCCTTTGAGTATGTGGTTGGGTGGGTAATCAAAGAGACCAGCTTTACAAAGCCTGAGCCAAAACCTCTTGGAGAGATAATGAGGGTTGAATGAATTGATGAAAATCTAGTGGGGAAAAGGGATGAGGAATGTTCCTCAGCTTAATGGACCATAGTTGAGTCAGTTGAAAATAGAGAAATAACAGCTGCTGACTAATGGAAAATATTGGAGGCTGGCATTTGAGGATGAAATGGACATAAAAGGCAGAGGACAGCTGCTGGAGGAGAGAAGATAATGTCAGGTGCTAAAGCCAATCAGGTCTGGAAGACAGGACTGCAGATCAACTATGAAGGTGGGCTTACGATAGTTTAGAACAGCAGGTAGGAGTCTTGAAGCCAAATAAACGCAAACTGGGGAGGGTGGGTAGATAGCAATGATGGCTAATCTTTTCCCCATCATGTGCCAAAAGTGGGGGGAGTGCAGGGGGAGTCATACATGGGCATGCCCCACACCCATAATTCTATGTGCATGACCTCCACATGCATGCATGCACAACCTCCCACTTTTGGCACATGATGGGCTTGTTTTTGAGGATTTCTAGGAGTCTGGGGGGAGGGGGGCAAAAATGGCCTCCCCCATCCCCGGAGACCCTCCGGAGGCTTTTCTCCAGAGGGAGAAAAACGGCCCTATGAGCAACCCGGAAGTTCATCATTACGGGTATATAATATGTATGAATAGTAGGGAACAGATGGAGGATGATGTCGTCATTCCTAAATTCCAGAAGTGTGCGTGTTGGAGGTAGGCCCTACTATTAATAGGTGAGCAGAAAATGTGGATCTGCCTCATGTCTAATATTCCCAGCAAGGACAACACAATTACAAGATTTCTATCTCCTTCCCCTGCTTAAAAATCAAAGTGACAACTCTTTAAAAAAAAAACAGCCAGGAAATCTAAGATATAATCTAACGTTGAGTAAAAATTTGGACAATTCATATCTAGTTCCCTTTTGACTTGGTCTGCCTATTTTTCAAATTCTTGCCTTTCTTTTGAAATGATGAGTCTCATGCAAAAACAAAACAACAACCTGTAGTTAAAGGAAACAATCCTTGAACTATGCCAGATGACAGGTTACAATAACACACCAGGGTTAAAGTTCTGTTTTATGTGACATCACCATGAGAGAAGGATTTACGTTTATGAGAATATAGAGAACCTGAGACTGATGGGTGGGGCAGAAAGTTCAAAAAACATCAAGAGGGCAGCTACAAGTGTGTAATCTTTTATGAAACTTGCAAAAGGGCAAAGGTTCAGATTTACATGGTCATAGCTGAAGTCTACTTCTAGCAATGTTGTGAGGTGGTGATAACAGCAGGACAAACAAGGATTGCATAATGGTTCAGCAAGGTATTTGAAAATGTTGGCCTTAGCAGTAATGGTGGTGATCTACCCTTTTGTTCTCTTAGCCTGTCAAGCACAATATGTTGGACCAGGTGTGCATAGTATACATCAAACACGATCCTCCAACCTTAATGAATACGTCTGAAATTTTGAGAATGTGTTATGAGTAGCTCATGAAACGGTTACCATCCAGAATATTTAACCAAATTTTTTATTAAAAAACCAATTTATCAGAAGGCAAAAAAAATAAAAAAAAATCTGCAGCCTTCCAGAATATTTTTTAAGAGTATTTCTGGGGTCTGTGTGAGGTCCACAGCTCTGAAACATGCCAGGTTGCCATTCTCCTTTTAAAATCTAAAAAAAAATCTGAAGCAACAACTCTAGCAAAGGACAGAGAGCTTGTCAGATACATGTTTTTCTGGGAATCACACAGCTTAAAGCCAGCCAACATACGTTACCAACAATCATTTGGATATCTTTGTGGTTGCCCACTACAGCCATTTGCAACATCTACTGATCGTTCACGTCAAAACCTGAAAAGGAAATAAACAGGCACAAAATAGAAATGCTTTCCCCTCCCAGAAAAAAAGAGAAGGAAACACGAACTCTCCCTAGAGATGAAGTAAGTTAAAGGTCTTCTAGCTCAAACTGTTCTAAGTGCTGTATATTACTTCCGTCTTACAGTTAAGAAGAGTCTGTAATTTTATAACAGACTTGATTAGCCTCATTGTTTATTCTTTCTCTTCATGAAATATTACTCACTTCTCTGCAACTTTGCCTGACTTTCTGTTCTCTTTTCATTGCTAGCCATTATGCTTCCTATCTGAGCTTTTCTGGATGCACATAAAGTTTGACCATCATGAAAAGAAGTTGGTCCCAGGAAAAAAGAAAAGATGAATAAAACCTACTTTCTATTAAAAAAAACAACAACCACACAGCTTTATTGCTAAAGGGCCCTTTGATTTTAGCACTCAGAATCAACTCATTCATTTCCTGGTTTGAATGAAGGGACATTATCTGTTTCTGTTTCCCCATAAAGGAGAATGACGCACATTCCATTGCAGACCATTTTTCTTTATCCCCTCCAAAGGTAAATGCTTTGATAAAATATTAGTCCCCAAAGACCTTCTGGGGGAAATTTAACGTGCAGATAATCAAGTTACTACAATATACTGAACTGCCTCTGCCTTGTTTCAATTCATAAGGTAAGTTCATCCTTACCAGTATGGAAAAATCCTCAGATTCAATATCTGATGATATTCAATCTGGTCATGTACTGCCTCCTAGTGGTCAATAGAACATCATCACCTACTGTTTCAAAGAGCCACCCCCTTCTGCCCAAAAGAGAACAGTCTTCCCTGCCAACTTGCTTTCTCCCCATGCTTCCCACTTTCCCCTTCATAGTTTTCCTTGATTTCATGTGTTTCACATAAAATCTTCACCAATATTTGCAGGGAAAGTTACATAATATATTTCCAGAAACATCTATTGAATATTTACAAATCAGAGATGGGTTGATCCTGGTTTAGTCCTGATCGGACAAAGCAATAATGGTGGTGGTGGGAGGCTCCACCCACTCGGCCAGGTACTTCTGCACATAAACAGAAGCTTTGATGAGTGCATGTGTGCAAGCACAAGTGAACTGGTAGTGCCGGGATTTGCAACCCACTTCTGTTACAGATTATTACTGAAACAGTGAGCAGCTGACATGATGCATATTAAGTTTATGGGAGAATCTCCACAATCATGATCACCATCTTTTGAAATATTGACTTGCCAGGTCCACTTTTAATAGTTTAATAGAAAGAAGTACTAGGGAAGACATGATAGCAGTGTTGCAATATCTCAGGGGTTGCCACGAAGAAGAGGGAGTCAAACTATTCTCCAAGG